ATCACTATCTCTATATGCTTACTTCTGGTTCACTGTCATCACTATCCCTATATGCTTACTTCTGGTTCACTTCAATGCTGCCCTACAAAATATTTCTTGCGAATATGATGCTCAACGGGCAGCTTCTTAATTTGCTTCTCCAATTCACTGTCAATTAAGTTGAATAATGTTTGCCTGTAACGTAACCATAAAGACACCTTGACCCACATCCCTCAACATACTTTATGGATTATATTCAATCATTACATACCTCCCGTTAATCATCTGAAAAAATTCAATACTTTTCTTTTGATGCATGATTGCAGCAGGGTCCTGAACCTCGTGCAACAGGACAATGTAAAATGGCAATTCTTGTAGAACGATGCTCTCAATATTACGTCAACTCCATCAACTTCTTTACCCTTTCTATACTTCTGCAGCAAAAATGGTAAGAAGTAAAAAAAATCAATAACAGAAGGAAAACACCAGTTAACACTTAAAAGTAAATTAAATAAGAAAAAGCAATATTCACGAGGCAGAAACTTAATTGATAAAGAACCTCTTTGGCATATCAGGTAGCAACTCTTTCACAGACTGAATAAGAACCTCAGTTCCTGTTTCCTCTTTTGAACCATTTAAAGAATCTTCAATGCCTGCTATGATGTCCAATCACACAACTACCAGCTCAGCCGAGAATATATACACAAAAGAATAATACAAATGATACACAACTATGGTACCTGAAGAATCCAGAGGTGATCCGCCTCTAAGATAACATCTCGCAATTTCATTACTGTCTCCGCCTTCTGCAAGCAAAAAATTATCTAGCACATGGCCTATCAATCTATAAGCAACCAAACTTATCTCATCAGATATGTCCTGGATCAAGATTTCTCTCATGTTTGCAGCTCCCAATTCCTCTTCAGGACAATGATCACAAGTCTTTTTATGATTACCTGGATCTGGATTAGATCTCTTGATTAAGTCTTCATTTCTATTATTACTCTCCAAATTAGACTTCTTGATGAAGTCGCCAACAATGGAAGCCTGCTCAAAACAATGCTTGAGAGGATTTATATGATTATCCTGATTCAGTATAGGTAACTTCTTAATAAACTGCATATCAGACTTCAATGAGATAAAATTTGAATCCACTGTACCCTCCGCTTCGTCATTTAAGCAAGATCCATGATCCTTTCTGTTAGAATTAGCACAATAGCATTCATCAGCCAAATCAAAATCATTACTTTCACAGTCATCATCAGTTCCTAAAGTTTCTGGGTTTTCATCGATTCTCTTGTCTGGAAGTAGGTGCGATGCAGTTGCTTTCAGATGACAGCTAATATTCAGTACAGCCTCTACTTCTTCATCCACAATCCCTGTTGAAAACAATTGGAGCCTACGTCGAGACTTCCTGTTTAAAGTAGCAAGAATTCTCGATACTTCATCTGGGATATCTATTGCGTCACAATAAAAAAGATATTCCATTAAATATTTTCTGAGATTAATTCTAAAAACCTTCTGAGCAACTTTGGCTTTAGGATCCACTAGTGGTTGCAAGGCAATGAGCTCATAAATCCCGACTTTTGGGAGTGACCAAATAGCTCCTAGTATATCATTCTGCAGTCCTACTGTTTCTGGTGAAAAAGGATAGAATTTAGACTCAGTTATCTCAAGACATCTAGTCCTCCGTTTGAGAGACAATTGCACAACTGATAAAGCTTTAGCAAATAATTCTGGAAGTTCATCCCCCTCCTTGAGATTCAACATAAATTTTTTGCATCTCTTCTTCACACGTTCAAGTAGCAGATCCCTTTTATATCCAGACCGTGGAGGTGGAAACTGAGGGACAAACGTGACTCCCCTTAGCTTCTTGTTCATTGCTTTTAGATCCTCAAAGGGCATTTGGTCAATTTCTTCCAAAGCTGACTCCCCTTAGCTTCTTGTTCATTGCTTTTAGATCCTCAAAGGGCATTTGGTCAATTTCTTCCAAAGCTTTGAGAATAGATGACATAAGAGAAGCCTTTTAGATCCTCAAAGGGCATTTGGTCAATTTCTTCCAAAGCTTTGAGAATAGATGACATAAGAGAAGCTGAAACAGGAGTAAGAAGCATTAGCTGTTTCTTCTGAAAATTGCCGGGGTCCTTGAAAACCTCGAATAGCTCCTTAATTGGTGTCAAGCAATCTTTGTCACTTGATCCTTCAAGAACCTTTGGAAGATAGTTTTTTATGACCTTTTTCATTCTTGAACGGGTTTTCTCAAATCTAATCTTTTTATCTGTAACCAGAGTAGCTATAAGGCAAAGTGCGTTATTGTTCAAGACATTCATCATGGAATACAAGTTATGTAAGAAATAAGAAGGGTTGTCGTGGTAGCTCTCCGTATTAAATGTCTCAAAGAATTTCAGATAGTTCTCAACAACATGATGTTTTCCTTGGCTACCACTAAATGCGTTAAAGCTGCCAAAGCTTTTCTCAACATTTGATCTAACTTTCTCATAAGAAACCTGAAGAAATGACAGATTCAATACACATGAATAGATTACAAAGAATGAGAGTACAACAAATACTGATGAAAGCAATTCTGAACTCGAGTGAGATTAAACTCACATGAATAGGAACACAAACAACATGAGATGATCACATGATGAAAATCCTGAAGGAAATAATTCGGAAACTCTAGTGAGACTAAAGCATCTATAGATTGTAGTGACTAAATTATTATAAAACAAACTCATACCGATCCAAGCAAAAACTCATGTCTAATTAGTTGCTTGGGATGTCAACAATACAGTAAACTTAGGCAAAATAAATTTGAAAGGTCCATAAGTAGGTTAATAAGGATTGTCCAACCTCATATGACAGGTCAGGTCAGTTCAACTGGTTATGCTTCAAGTATCCAGACTTAGGAAAATGTGATATGAGAGTGGTCACAGAACTCTGTCGAGCACCTTTCCAATTATTCATACACAAATATGAGAGGTTTTTTTTGGCATTCTGACTTATCCATCAAAAGTAAATCGCGCATGTATACTAAGATTGTTTATATTGCTCTGCTTTGTGACTCATGTTCTTTTGTTTTTATATTCTACTGTATAAATTCTTCTTGTCTAATATTCATTAAAAATCAACCTATAAAATAATATGGATAATGTTATAAATAGGGATTGGGGCACAGCTAAAATAAGGGAAGATCCATGCATTCAGAAGCCTATGATAGCCAGCTTGGCTTGTTGAGAGATTTGTTTTTGGCAATACAGACCAAAAAGCACAAATGATTATACCTACACTTCTTATTAAGAAATTTGTATACTGCAGATTCACAAATAACTAAATCCTCGAGACTCTGCTATCTATACTAAAAAAGGGAGTGCATTTAACTTTACTCACCTTAAGACAATAGCTAACATGAGGTTGTGAAAGCATAACACCAATTTAATGAATGTTGTAAAATGTAGTCAATAAAAATAAAGCATGGATATGTTCATGTCCTTCATAGTTATCAAAATAATATTTGAATTAATTGCCATTTAAATTGTACTGACCCTTGCATCATTGCATAAGAAGCATATTAGGCCATGATGGTGAGGCTGTTCATGTGGGGCATCTATGCACATGCAGACTTTTGTGCGTGAATATGTATGTGCATTAAATTTATCATGCCAATTTATTCACGAACCATGTAAATTATAATCCACAAAGGTTAATCATAGCCTATGGCTTCAAGGACATATCAAATGAAATTTAACAGGTTGCAACTCTTTTGATCCATAGATATAATAATCGCTTAGATACAAGCTAATCCATGAGCTCTCAATGCACATAAAACAAAACACAAAAATTTCAATTCAGATCTATGACAAAGGTGCATTTTCAATTTCTGCAGTAAGAGATTGAAGTCCCTGAGTCTAAATTCTTAAATAAGAAAACTCTCCAACATCACTTCCTAACTTAAGGAGCTTTAACTATGTATAAGTGTTGAAGGGTACCCTGGTTTCAGGTGAAACCTCGAGTTTTTTATTTTATTTTAACTTACAATTTTTTAAGTCATGAGAACTTATAGAAGAGGGAAACAACTCACTTCATTACTTCTGAAGCATGATTCTGGCGCGTACCTGCGAACAACAACAATATCCATGGAATAAAAATACCTTCCAATACGCAAACCAGAACAAATCAAGTTTTAACAAGCATAATAGAAGTTATTATATAAGGGCAATAAATTTTTTGAGTTTTGGACAGCTACATATATATCAATATAACCATGAAAAATCTGCACGGATATTGAATGTATTATTCCTTACCAGCTATGCATAGACCTATTAGTATTATAATTAGTTAGATACAGGCATTGTGCTCTATAAACCCAGAATAATGTTTATGAAGCTTAAAATTGTGTATACTGAGTACTGATAGAATTTAGGCTAACATTCATTATTATAGCTATTTGAACTTTTCTTCTAACTCTAGTCCTTCATGTAAAGTAGTCCTTCAGGTACAGAGCTAATAAGTAACAAGAGACCACAGTGTAGGGCCGTGGATTTTTCTGCTTCATGCACAGGCATGCATGTATGCAAGCATACTCTGTGTTCATGCACATTTTAGTAGTGCAATTACAAAAAAGTGTACTTTGGTTAAGTGCTCAAAAAAATATTTGATGCAAAAGCAGAATCTTAGCAGTACCTTGCTTTTGTGTCAAAATTGCTACCTTTACATCGAAATGGCTGCTTGAAATACAAAAAAAAAGATGTTCTTACAAAGAACATCAAACAAATATTCCTGTAACATAGTTATTTACTTGGAGTAACTGTAGAAATAGCTGGTCTGGGATAGAGTAAACTCAACTATTCATATTTTCTTGAACTCTTTTGATGAATATAGCATAGGTATCTTTGCAAAAGGTAAGAAGGCAGGCCACCTTCAAGTTTATCAGGTGTCAAGTTTCCATGTCAAACCCCTGTTAGCTACATCACTTTGATGGCATGAAATAATCGAGCATGTGTCATGCTCAGTCATGATAATAAAAGGCACCCAGATTTGATGGAGTTACATCCACCATGTAGATGGCCTTCGTACCAAGAAATTAATAAAATGATGACTTAGATTGGTAGTTAGCTTCCTAGTTCTGTTTTATAACTTAAAAAGAATCCGCTATTTAGATTCCTACTATGCACTAAGCGATAAAATTTATACATCTGTTTTATAACTTAAAAAGAATCCGCTATTTAGATTCCTACTATGCACTAAGCGATAAAATTTATACACGGTCATAAACTAACACACTTATTGATATTAAGTACATTGAACATATAACAAATAGGGAAATAAAGAATCAACTTACTCATCTGACAGGAACTTGGGCCTTTTAGACTTCTTTTTGCTGCCATCCAACATAGATACTGCAGGAAGTCCCACTAACCATCTGCACCCAAATCATGTCTTAGTTCATTCCTTGTCAGTACGACAAGGAAAATAATACCGGAAACTTCTCATTTTAAAATTTTCTGGAGTCTTATATCTTAGAAAATAACCCCAAAAAAGTTTCTTTTCTTATATTTTGAATTATTAAGTGTTGGCAATTTAAATTTGAAACAAAAATATTTTGGAACTTATGTTTGTACAATTGTATAGTGCAATGATATCATTCAAACATCTCAAACAAGAATATTCTTGTGTTACCGTTTACCAATCCTCCTTGGTGTGCAATGATATCATTCAAACATCTCAAACAAGAATATTCTTGTGTTACCGTTTACCAATCCTCCTTGGTATCCAGGAGAAGGTGGTGGATAAATCAAACAAGAATATTCTTGTGTTACCGTTTACCAATCCTCCTTGGTATCCAGGAGAAGGTGGTGGATAAATGTTATGGGCAGTGGTCATATTCAAAACACTCATTTCCTTTGGAGGTAGGATGAATCCCCATCGTTGTTTATATTTCAGAAGGAGTTATAATAGAGTACATTTATGAGTCTCTAGCATAAAAAAAAGTTTTGTTTAACTTGTATAAATGCGCATAATGCTTACGTTATAGGATGAAATAACGAAGGACATATTATATAAGTAATTGATTTCAGCCATTGCATTTACCTTCTTAATATCAAAGGAACATTTGTAGCAGAGTAAATCTTTGTGGGTAAAAGATGGGAAATGCAATTTTGAAACTTCTTTGAAAATATGACCCTAAATTAAGTTTATTTTTTTGTGGAATGAGATAGCATCCTCGACACTACATGTACTTTAATTGGCTTGATCAATTTCCGCTATGGGAGGCTAAACAATTCCAAGAATTGTCAAAATTTGTAATTTTTAAAAATAGGGAACTATGGGAACTTTAACAAACCTCCTTTTCTTATTGAGCAACTCATCTTGATGCCACACTCTAGAAGTCAGCTTCTTTATATCTCGAAGCGAGTAGTTCATTGTTGATTCTGTAAATTCCTCCACAGTAAAATTCAAATCCAAAGTCAAGAAAAACCCTTCTTCTAAAAACAGTAGAATTATTAAACTAAAGGAAAAAAAACAGAGAGAGAGAGAGAGAGAGAGAGAGAGAGAATCTGAACCTTGTCCCAGAATAGGAGGCATGGGTTTCTCTTCTTCAGACATTAAAGAAATAGATGACTTCTCTCTGAAAAATACCCAATATGAATACAAAATTACTAAGAAATCACTTACCACAGAATAAACAAATACAGAAAGTAAACAATATGAGAGAGTAAGATAAAACCCAACCTTAACCTAGTCCTAATCTCTTGCCCCTGAGATAGATTTTTCTATTGAGGAGCAAACAAAGGGGGAAAGCCCAAAACTTTGGCTTTCAATTGAGTTTATGATGGGAATCGACCTAAACCGCTAACTGGACGCAGAACAGACTAATAGCAATTTTGGATTAAGACCCTTAAATGGATTGATCCGACAGGATAGTGTGACCGAAGAAGACCAGATACATCTTCTACCTAATTATGTAGTCAGCCTCCACCAATTCATGGAAGGTCGAAATTGGGAGAATTTAAGGTTATAATTCAACAATAGGTATAATCCAAAAATCACCACCCTCAAAATTCAAACAAGATGACATGAATGCAACCCAACTTAAAAACAAGATGACATGAATACAACCTAGTAATAATTTAATACGAGAATGGTTCATGTAGAGTAGGGTTTAATTTTGTTGACCTTTGGTTAGGTTAAGATGACTCCTTATGCAATTTTAATCTCAGCGGTACGGTGAGGTGCTCTGAGGGTGGAGGAGAGCGGAGGTTCAGGGACTGCTCGGCGTCGCTGGTGGAGGCGGTCTGCTCGGCGTCGGGAGGCGTGTGAAGATGAGAGGCGGTCGTCGTGGGGGCTGCTCGCGGTGGTGGTGAGCAAGGGAGGGGGGAAATCGGATCTGAGAGGGAAGTTGATTTTCCCTTTGAGACTTCGGAGTGCGGGTCGAATACGAGCGGGGTTGATGGCGGTGGTTGTTCGGGTTGAAGGAGATGAGCAGCGGGGAAGAGGGGCGGTCGGTTATGGATGGGAAGAACGGTGGGGTTTTCTTTTTTATTTTTATTTTTATTTTTTGTAATGGAGGGCTGAGATGAGTTCTGACAGAGAATGGGTGGGGAGATATTAAATGGGTGAGATTTTGGGTGGATGGAAAGAATGAATTTGTTGGATAGAGAGATTTTCAGATTTTTTTTTTGTTCAACACAATTTTAAATATTTTGAATGGAAAAATATTACACATGTGATGATGACAAACGGGAAAAATATTTTGGATCTGGCACTTTTTTTTTACAAACTTAAAAAAAAAAAAATAAGAAGATGGAAGAACCTGAGATGGAGAAGAATCCGGTTGATCAACTTTTGCTCTGATACCAAAATGATGCGGGACGATGGGGCTTTTAGGGTTTTATGTAAGGGATTTGGGAAATTTGAGGAAGAACAAATATTTGGGAAAAGCTAGGGTTTGTAAGATTAACAAGATATGACCACGAATCGCAACCCGGGCCTTGGCTTCACCACCATTGACTCAATCTTAGAGATCAAATCAATTACCCAAAGTTTCACAAATGAAACAAAATCTTCTTCAAATATTCATTGCTTTATTTCATAGAATTGACCTCTTTAAATAGGCCTTCAGCAACTACAAGTTCACTCCCATACCCGATGTGGGACTAAAAAAAGAGCAAATACAATAAAGAGAATAAAAGTAACACTAGCTAAACTCCAAGCCTTCTCAAAATCAAAACCAAATATAAGTTGAAGCAAGACGACAACGACGACGACGACGAAAGTATGTGCGAAGTGGATGCTGTGTGATGTCCTCATCAATTCCCCCGGGGCGGAAAGAACTCGACCCCGTCGAGTTAGGCTCCAACTGACCCTCATAATACTCCAATAGATCCGGAGCTAAGCGCTGCAGGTCCTCACGAGTAATCCATGTATCATCAGATTCAGGACGATCTTTCCAACGTACTAGATATCGTCTGCAACCACCATCTCTGGTGGAGATGATTTGGTCATCTCGAATGCTATCAATCTGTTCAGCTGTAAATGGGACAAAAGTAGGAGGCAGTGGTGGTAATGGGGGTCCCTCAAGGAAAGGATCAGGGGTAGGCTCATCAAGATCCACAAATGGATTGTCAGGGTTAGAAGGAGGACCTTTATAGGCCACCAAATCCGCAATATTAAATGTCGAACTAATTCCGAAATCTGGAGGTAAATCGATTACATAAGCATTTGAGTTGATTTTCTTGATAATCTTAAAAGGCCCAGCACTACGAGCATGCAATTTTTTGACGGCTCCAGGTGGAAACCGTTCCGGACGAATCCGGATTATTACATAATCACCTTCGTTAAACTCAAGATGTCTTTTATGTAAATCAGCATGGGACTTATCTTGTTTATTGCTTTCTTGAATTTTCTTGTTGATTTCTTGATGCAAATCATGAATGTGTGATGCAATTGCAACTGCTGACTCGGACACTCTAGGATGATGCGACATGGGAATAAGGTCTATAGGCTTTCTAGGCTTGTACCCATGCACAACTTCAAATGGACTCATACCTACTGATCTATTGACTGAACTATTGTATGCAAACTCTGCAGTGGGTAACAGAAGATCCCAATTTCCTAAATTCTCACCAACCAAACAGCGTAAAAGATTGCCTAAACTCCTATTAACTACCTTGGTTTGACCATCAGTTTGGGGATGAAAAACAGATGAATACTGAAGTTTAGTCCCCATCTTGTGCCATAGAGTTTTCCAAAAATAGCTCATAAACTTCACATCCCTATCAGATACAATGGTTTTGGGCAAACCATGCAATTTGACCACACCATCAAAGTAAATCCGAGCAATTTTGGAAGCATCAGACGTTTTGCTGCACGGCAAGAAATGGGCCATCTTTGAAAAGCGATCCACAACTACAAAAATGGAGTCATGTTTACTGATAGTCTTAGGAATCCCCAACACGAAATCCATACTCACATCCTGCCAGGGACGATCTGGAACAGGGAGGGGTGTGTACAGGCCAATATTTTGTTTACGCTGCTTAGCTAATTGGCAAGTGCGACACTGCCCTATTAACTTCGCAACATCTCTTTTAAGGCTTGGCCAGTAAAATAGAGTTTCTACAGCCACTATAGTCTTTTCACGACCAAAATGATCAGCAAGACCTCCTGCATGCAATTCCCAAACAAGATAATCTCTCAAAGAAGTACGGGGAATGCATAACTTACGAAATCAAAATAAATAGCCATCTTGGAGTAGAAAGCCATCTATCTCGGGAGTCACTCCCTTTAAAGAAACAAAAATCCCTCCAAAGTCAGGACATGATTCATACTCCCCTTTGACTCTTTCGAAACCCACTACCTCGGCACTCATTCGGTTTAGAAGACAAGTTCGGCGGCTGAGTGCATCAGCCACCTTGTTCTCAACTCTAGCCATGTGTTTAAGGGTATACGTATAGTCTTGTAGAAATTCAACCCATCGAGCACGCCTGGCACTGAGTTTCTTCTGAGAGTTAAGATACCGAAGGGCTTCGTGGTCCGAATAAATAACGAATTCTTGAGGTAAAAGATAATGTCGCCAATGGTGCAATGACTGCACAACCGCATAGAACTCCTTATCGTAAGTAGAGTAGTTTAGTTTAGCACCACTAAGTTTTTCACTAAAGTAGGCGATGTGGTGCTTCTCCTGGCTCAATACTCCACCTATACCAATGCCCGAGGCGTCACACGCAACCTCAAACACTTTAGAGAAATCAGGAAGTCTCATAACAGGTGCATTAGTCATCCTCTGCTTGATTTCTTTGAAAGCCATGGCAGCTTCTTCGGACCATTGAAATTCCTCTCTTTTCAGGCAATCTGTAATTGGGGCCATAATGGCACTAAACTCCTTGATAAATCGCCTGTAGAAAGTTGCGAGCCCATGAAAACTTCTTACATCGCGTATACTCTGGGGCTCGGGCCATTCTACAATTGCCTGAACCTTTTGAGGATCGGCAGAAACTCCCTGAGAAGACACAACAAATCCCAGAAATATAACTTGATCAGTCAGGAAAACACATTTCTTGGGATTTGCAAATAGTTTCTCTTTCCTCAAAGTGAGACATACTTGATTGAGATGATCAATATGATGCTCCAGCGACTTACTATAAATTAAGATATCATCAAAGTATACGACCACAAATTTTCCCATAAAAGGTCGCAGTACTTGAGTCATAACTCGCATGAAGGTGCTGGGAGCATTTGTTAACCCAAAAGGCATAACCATCCACTCGTATAGACCATCTTTCGTCTTGAAAGCTGTCTTCCACTCATCCCCTGAACGAATCCTAATTTGATGGTAGCCACTCTTCAAATCAATTTTGGAAAATATGGTAGCTCCAGACATCATATCTAACATATCATCCAGTCTGGGAATAGGAAACCGATATTTCACTGTGATTTTGTTGATTGCTCGACTATCAACACACATTCTCCATGAACCGTCTTTCTTAGGGGTTAGTAATGCCGGCACAGCGCACGGACTCAAGCTCTCTTTAATGAACCCCTTAGTCAACAGTTCTTCAACTTGCCTCTTGAGTTCGGCATGTTCGGTTGGATTCATTCTGTAATGAGGCAAGTTGGGAAGATTAGATCCTGGAACAAAATCTATAGCGTGTTGGATGTCACGCATCGGGGGTAGAGAGTTTGGGAGTTCTTCCGGGAAAACATCTGCAAATTCCTTTAATATTGGAGTTACTGCAGAAGGGATTTGCTCTTGGGAGTTTTCGGTAATCTCCCTAGCAACAAGGACAACAACGGTAGACCCTTTAGCGACCTCCTTGTCCAGAGACTTGGGGCTGATCAAATTTAGTCCTCTTTGGTTGTTGGAAGAATCATCCTCTTTCCATCATGGACGAATGAATGAGTGTTTGATCGTCCATAGATAGTGACATCTAGATCATATATCCAGGGTCTACCTAAAATGATGTGCCCAACATCCATGGTAACAATGTCACACCAAATCTTGTCCGAATAAGTAGCAAATTGGATCGGGACAAGACATCGTTCTTTAACCTCAATGGATGCAGTGTTCACCCAAGATACTTTATATGGTTGATGATGGGGAACAGGTTTCAAACCAAGTACAATCACCATGTTGGAGGCGACGACGTTAACACAACTCCCACTGTCAATTATGACTCGATAGTTTTTATCATTGATCTTTATGGTTGTGTGAAAAATTGTAGTTTTACGCCAGTCATCACTATCCCTAGGTTGAGCTAATGCGCACCTCACAACACTAAGTCGGCGGGAAATTTCGTCCACTTTGTTGATCGAGGGTGTTGGCATGCTCAAAATACATCCTACGATAGCATCGGTAGGTTCATCCTCCCAAACATGTTCATCAGGGTCATGGACAATCTCCTCTAAATCATCCCGGTCACTGTCCGATCGGGTCTCAACAATTAAAGTTCTTGTTTTACTCGGACACTGGGCAGCAATATGACCAAACCCTTGACACCTAAAACATCAAGTAGATTGAGCCGATCTAGATGACTCGCTATAAACTCCCTTGCCTTTATCATCTGGCTTATGT